CTGGATCATTTTCTGCAAGAGATGCCTGACTGTCTCCCCACTTCCAGTCACATAGCCCACACTCCTGAGCAGTCATCCTGAAGCCAGGCCCAGAGTCTGTTACATCCCAACACCAACACTCTCAGTGACTCCCCAGTGTCTCCAAAGTAACCCCACACTCTTAGCATAGATGCACAGTCCCCTCCTTGAATCGACTCCCAACCCTGCTCTCCAGCCTGATTGCCCACTCTTGCTCCTTAGAACCTGGGTGTTGCAACTGTTCCAGAATCTCCGAATCAGCCTTGAGTTTATGACTCCATGATGTGGCTCCCACAGGCCTCCTGCTTGGTGTGGACAGTCAGTCCTGCCTCTGCCCGTCACAGTCCTACCCTTTGTATAAGACCCAGCCCAGACACCAAACACCCAAACCCAGCGATGGTTAAGAACATGGAAGCTAAAGCCAGCCTGACCGGGTACAAGACCCAGTTCTACAACTTCTATCATGTGACCTTTTGGGCAAGTTACTTAACCCTTCTGCACCTTGGTTTACTCATCTGTAGAAAGAGGAAAATAGTTGCAGCACCTGTCTCACTGGGTATTTGTGGATTAAGTGAGACTATGTGTAAAGCGCTTGGAACAGAGTCTGGCATGTGGTCAGCACTTTGTATGCCAGCTATAATACCCCAGATTACGAAGCCTCCTTTGATCCCGTTGGCCACATGTCCCTACTTCCACAGCATTTTTGTTGACACCACTAGCAGCACTTATCACATTAGCCTGGTTGTGGAGTTAGAATTCTTTGATGGCAATTGGGCAATTGTCAGAAACCCAATGGGGTAAACAAGGGGATTTTTATCACAAGCATATGGGTGAGTCTTATAAGACCCAAGGGCAGGAATGCAGCAGCACTTCATGGGGCCCTGGCATTGACAGCTGCAAATACTGCTTGGAACAGTATTCTCTCTTGGAACAGCCACTTAATTATTTTCTTTGTAGACTGTCCTTGAAGACTTGGCTGAAATCCGCTGCCCACAGCACTTGAGGGTGCATGCCACCGTCCAACATGGAAAGATACAATCTCTCTCTTGGTTCCAGGTCAGGACCTCTGACCAACCACTCTTGGGTAGGGGCAGGGTGGGGTCATGTTTCACAGAATTATTGCTGGAAGTGCCCCACTCTGGGTAAGTAGATGAATTTAGGGGGGTCCATGCCACAGACTGCGAGTTGGTCTCTAATATCTGTTTCTCCTTCTTTCTTTGTAATACAACTTCTGGGTTATGCTGCCCTGAATAAAGACTACATTTCCCAGCCTGCTTTGCAGCTCGATATGACCATGTGACTAAGTTCTAGCCAAAGTGTCATTAGAGGGAGGGAATGCCTTTCTTTGCTTCTTCCTAGTAACTGGACTCTGGAGCCAGACTGAGTTGAAATCCTGGCTCTGCCACCTATTAGTTGTGTGACCTTGGGCAAGTTACTTAACCCTTTTGTGCCAGTTTTCTTAGTAATAAAATGAGAATAAAAGTGATATTGACATAATAGGGCTATTGTCAGGATTCCATGAATTAATATTTGAAGAGTGCGGTAAGAATGGTTCCTGGCACACAACGTGTGCTCTATAAATGTGGTGAAGAAGATGGTGATGATGATGAAGAAGAGGATGGCCAGGCTGGAGCTCCAGGGCCATGGTGGATGGTGAGATAGAACCACATGTTGAGAGTGGCCGGCCTAGATCTTTAACACTGGTTGAGCCACAGCACCAGCCTGCACTGCTTGCCTCTTGACTTTGTTTATAGAAGAGAAAAGTCAACTTCCACCTTGGTTAAGCCATTGTCATTTGGGGTTTTCAGTTATTTGCAGCCTAACTGAATCCTAAATGATATGGGGCCTTGTAGGTTCAGCATACACCCCTGCCCACTGCATCGTGATGCAGTCCCTTGAGACCAGGTTTTATTGTGCCTGCTTAGGTTGTACATTCCTTAGGTCACACAAGACAGTGTAGCTTTCCATGCTATCTTTGTGTCTTTTATATGCCTTATAAAATCCTGCTCATGGTAGGTGCTCAATAAGTGAGGATTGAATGAATGGAAGAATGATGCTAAAAATTGTTGTTCTGATTGGGTCAACTCCGTCTATATTCTGAAACATCCAGAAGATTCTTTGTGTTGGCTGGTGACAGAAAATTGGTGGTAATCATAATAACAACATTTATCCAGCATAACGCCTGGGGTTCTGAATACTTCAAGTGCATGAGACTGTTTCACCCTCACGACAACCCTATGAAATAAGTAGTCTCATCAGCCTCATTTTACAAACGAGGGAACTGGGCTTCAGGGAGGTGGAGGTCAATGTCTTAGATCCAGCCAGTGCAGCCAGGATTCAGACTCAGGCAGCCTGACTCCAGAGCCCAGGATCTTAACTTTTGCTATGAAACTTTCCCTAGGGCTTTTCTCCTATGAGCCCCTTGGAAAGGAGAGGTTGAGATCGCAGAGAACCCGTTCAGGCCAACGAGGACACATCGCTTCAGAGAGACCTTGCTTCTCTTTACACTTCAGAGGTTTGTTTGGAAGGCTGAGCTTCAGAGAGTCAGAAAGGAAAATGTCAGTGTTTTCCTGAGGTCTATGAGGTGCCAATCCACACAGACCCTGAGTCCCTGGATGAACCCAATCTCTCGTCTCCATACTGCCATGGCATTTTTGTGGACATGACCAGCAGCTGGTCGAACTGGGTAATCTTTGGCAAAATGGTGACAGTGGCAGAGTTTGTCTTCATTCTGCTCCTATCTGCCTGTTATTTGATTTTCAGCATCTTATGTCCTTTTCAGGCCGTCACATGTTATCTCAGCAAGGAAAGCTTCGTTGAAAAACTTAGTCCCCTCAAATGAAAGTTTCATGGTGGGATTTTAGGCAACAGAGATTTGGGGGTTGGAGAACTTCCTGCTACCTCTCAAATCACTATTGTCCACTCTTTTCCTTTCCCTTCCCCTCCTCCTCTTCCTTCTTCTTCTTCTTTTTTTTTTTTTTTTAAAGCATTTCTCACCCCTCTCTCTTCTTCCCAACCCCAGAGCCTGTGTATCTTTCTTGGCCCCCTTTCAGTCCCCTTGTCCAGGGTGCCATTTCTGCCTTTTCCTGTGCACACTGGCCATCCTGTCACCCCGACACTTACGTTGTGGGCTGCATGCTTTAGCACCTCTCCATGTGCTGGCCAGTCCTCCAAATGCTGCTTGTGTCTTTGGTTTTGTTAAACTGTTTGCTCTCAGAGGACCAAGGCCACATGGAATAGCCAGGGATGTTGTTGCAGGAATTTCTATTTTGGGAAGTTATTCTGGCTGCCCCCATCTCTTAAGTCTCTTTCCACCCTGAGGTTGAAAGACTCTCTACTCTTCTTCTCGTTTCCCCATGGTGCCTGGTTCAGCGTTGAGTAACAGATGGGGGCTTAGGAAGGATTTACTGAACTAAGTCTTCCCCTTTCTGGAAGCATGCGTGAAGGGCCATTGAGGCAACGGTAGAAAAGCTGTCCTGTTTTCAAAGGTCTCCCAACAAGGAGGCAAAGCACTTTCCAGGTTTGGGGATCAGCACTTTTTCAAGGCCACTGCATTCCATGCTCTTGGTTGTGATACGATGGGCGCTCTGCCGCCCCCTCTGGCCTGGCTGGCCTCGATGCTCCTCTGGTCCAGTCTCTGGGCTGGAAACCACAGCTGGCCCTTCCTGAAATGACTCAATATCCAACTTGGACACAGCTCCAGTCTCCTCCCTGCCACCTCCAGGCAACCAGTCCCGCAGGACCAAGCTAGGACCACAGAGGTCCCAGCTTTTCTCAGAAAGATCCCTCTGCTGACCAAGGATGGCCACGCCAGAAATTCTGCAAAATGCAAGAGCAAGCACTTTCAAGCCGGAGTTTCGTGTTTCCTGTCCCTGCGGGCTCATTCTGCCAAACTTCACGATACCAGATGGAGTGAGTTCATCTCAGATAAGAACACGTTTCCCTTTGTGATTTTCCCCAAGACTCGGGTCTACAGCCACCAAGAACTTGCTTGGGATGGGGCTAGGGGAGGGAGGCAGAGCCCCTGGAGTTGGGGCTAGAGGAGAGCATCCTGCCCTGCTGGAGCCAGGACCTGACCCCACCACCCCTGGAAAACCTGGCCCATGCAGGAGCCCATTCTAAACGAAGCCAGAGCAGGTGTTTGCACCCAGGTTTGAGTTTACACTGTGACCTGGTGTTCAAAGGCCCTTTGGCACCCTGGAAGACGGCACCTATGTTTCCAGCATTCAATTCAGGACCTTCCTGCCTGCCTCTCTCCCTCCCCCAACGCTCTGGGCCACAGGGTAGAATGAGTGGAGTTGTGACTGAAGACTCAGGTGGAAACAACCCCTTCCTTCCTTCACATTTGCTTGAGACCCCAAGGCCTTTGCATCTTGCCAAGCCTCAGTTATTCCTCCCTTAGTACCCTGAAACCACTGTCTGGAAAGACCTTAACATCACCAATCCGCATCCCCGTCCTTCAGCGTGTGGTTCAGTCTTGCTTTCATCATCTCCCTTCTCCACCCTGGAGCCCTCAGGGAGCTCTTTTTCTCCTTTGAGCTTTTAACTCTTGACATCTGCACCACTGTTGTGTGACATTAATCCACATTCAACACTGTGACATCGTTTATTGTCTTGTGTGGCTGTGAAGTGTTTTGTGTGTTTGTTTTCTATCCACTTTCTGCAAACTTTAAACCAACTCTGTCCAATAGAATATAACATGAGTTACATATGTAATTTTAAATTTTCCAGCAGTCCCATTAAAAAAGTCCAAAGAAACAGGCAAAATTAGTTTTAATAATGTATTTTGTTTAACCCAATTTATCAAAAATACATGGAACCAATATAAAAAATTATCAATAAGATATTTTACTTTTTGGCAGGGTACAAAGTCTTCAAAATCTGGTATGTATTTTATATTATAGCACATATCAATTTGGCTGCTAAATTTTCATAGAAAACTCCTGATTTGTATTTAGATTTGGTAATGACTTCTCCTTTGCCTCCATCTGCCAAATATCAGACCAGAACTTTTCCTTGGTGTTTCCAAGACGGAACCATATAACTAAGGGGATTCTGGGAATTGTAGTTCCCAGCTTCTCTCGGTGCCACAGAGGAGAACTTAGAAAGGGGTGGTGATGATGCTGAGCTGACAACAGACGATCTGCCCATTATTTAATTGGATGAGCCCTCCTAGGAGTAAGTATGGGGAGTTGCCAGGTGGAAGGAGCAGCAGAAGCAGAGCACACACAGCGACGGAAGGCAGTGAGCAGAGATGGGATCCTGAGTAAGCCGAGAGGAGAGGAAGTCTCTGGTGTCGTAGGGGAGGCAGAGAAGAAGGAAGATGGAGGGAAGGGAGCATTGGATTTCTGCGGAGCCCCTAAAGTATTCAAGGCATCCAGATGCTCCAGTGTCATGACGTGGCAGGCCTGCATCTCAATGACACCTATGTGGGAGGAGAGGTACTCACAGTTGTCCCTTCCCCTGACTCTGGGTGCTAAGATTTGCTGGGACGAGCTGGTTGCTCCCAAGGTCTCAGATATTCTGTGAACTGAGGGTCCTTAGGAGTCCCACCTCCTGCCTGAAGGCTTCCCGATCAACTCTCCCTTCAGCCTAAACTCCTTATTTTGACACATGTTCACACATACGTTGTCATGGCTTGTTTGCTATTCTGCATGTGCTGTGTCCCCATGTAGCTCTTTGGAGCCAGAAGCCCAAACTATCTTCTAAATCCCACGCAACCCTGGAAGGTGCTCCACACCTCTGGGCTGGACTGAGCTGAGGCAGAGGCTGGAAGGAAAGATCTGTAGGCATCAGCAGAGCCACCGAAGATGCTCCTGTCACCCATGGGCAAGGCTTTGGGAGAAGGGACGAAAGTCCATCTAGGGCCACTTCCTTTTATCCCCTAGAGCAGCCAACCTAAATGAGGGGACTGGAGGAGCAAACCTCGCTCAAGGAAATCAGAGATCAACTGGAATCAATCCTCGGGCTATGGAAAGGAGTAACGCAAACAAAACACAGGTTGTGTGTATGTTTGTGTATGGGGGGGGCTGGTTGCCATGACACAAAGGGCCACACCCACCAAGGCTGGGCTGAAACAGGGATGAGGCTCTGAGACAGAAACTTGCGTAAACAGCCAATCCTCTAGGAGAGGCCCCCCCCCCCCCACTGCAGTAGAACAACTGCCTAGTAATGAGGAGACCCCCAGCTGAGGACACCAGCTTCTGAACAGTGGCTGAGCTGCTCTTTCTAGGCATTAACTCCAGAAATTGGAGGTACATATGACCCTTCTGTTCCTTCTTAAGGCCCTTAGGGCTGGGCTAAACTTATGGGCTAGAGCCCCTCTAATCTAATGCCATCATCTTACAGATGAGGAAACCAGAGCAAACTGGAGGTCAGCTTGGAGGTAAGGTCTGTTCTCCTGGCTCCTTCTCAAAGCCTTTTCCTTCTTCCCTTGGTCCTTCTGACTGGTCTCACCTCATATGTTCTCTTTCATCCTCTCTCAGGACTGGGATCTGTTTTCTGACATTTCATCTTCTGAAGAGATGGCGTTTCCTGTATGTTTATTGATTTTAGCAGCATCAGGGCAAGCTTTGAGTGCCTGGTGCATCTGAGGAACTGACGAATGGTTAGTTAGGTTCATCCAGTGAGCTGGAGGGAAGCACACATGGGGCAGAGGACCAGACCTTAGGAGCATGTTGAGCCATCCAAACATTCAAAGTCACACCCCTGTGTTTGAAGCAATGAAGTAGGGTTGATTTGACAAGGCTTGTCCTTGGAGACTGTATTTTCCCCAAGTTTTTGTGCTTGCAATTCAGGTGTCTGGCACCAGATGGCAGTGTTGCTCTGTTGTGAATTTTAGACAACTTATTGTGAGAAAGGTTTTAAATATTCATCCAGTCATTCATTTGACAAGTATTTATGGAGTGCTTACAATATGCCAAGCACTTTCTAGGTACTTGGGATACAGCAGTGAACTAAACACAAAAAGTTGTGCCCTCTTGGAACGTATGTTTTTGTGCAGGGAGATGATGAATAAGTGAGAAAAACATTTGGTGTATCAGGTGATAATAGGTGCCATGGAGAAAAAATAAAGCAGAGAAGCGGGAAAGGAGGGCTTGGATGGGGGGATGTTGTGACATTAAAGGGGAGGTCAGAGATGATAGATCATAGAAACTGAGAGCTTGGAAAGGCTACAGCAGCTTTACGCAGGATCATAGAAGCAGAAAATGTTCGTATAGGAAGGGGCTTTAGAGGGGGTTATGTTATATTTGACAGATGAGGAAACTGAGGCTCAGAGAGGAAGAGTGACTTGCCCAAGGTGAATAATCTGTAGGGTAGAGGCTAGCAGCCTTGAGTTTCAGGCCCACCCTTCCCTGCTGCCCCCACGCACTCCCAAACCCCACTTTGGGCCTGTGAGGGGCCCTCCCTCAACTTGGCAGAGACTATGAACTCACCAAATGCTGTTTGCTTTTCTTCCTGGGCACATTTTCCAGCCTCCTTTCAGTTACTGTGTTCCAGCCAATGGATAAAGAGCAAGAGTGATATACACCAATTCCAGGCCTGGCCCCTAAAAACTTCCGGTATGATGTACCATGCATTCCCCCATTCCCCATCTGTGCAACTAGAAGCACAGGACTCTAAAGCCCTAGAGGATGAGGAAGTCACTAAAAGGAGGGAGACTGGGTCCCTGGAGGACTGCACGAAGAGCCCCCATCACTCTGCTTTGCACTGTGACATGAATGAGTCTGGTGTGTAAAGCCATTGAGATTCGAGGGTTGTTTGTGACAGCAGCTGGCTCATTCTAACTATTACACCCACCATGACTGAAGCTAACTGTGTCCAGGTCCCACCAGCTTTAGCTCCCAACACTATGCGTAGGGGACGCCTGAGTTTCTATTGCCTGTGCAGAGCTCTCCTCTCTTTGCTGGGTCGGAGCTCCCATTTTTACTAGAGAACACACTCCTCTTCTTGGTGGAGCTGTTTCTCCCATCACCACCCAGGGGTGGCGTGTGATCTAAGGAGCCACTGCGAGTGCATAATCTCGGCCGAGTGATCAGCTCAGGGATAGACATAATACAGTAAGAGTTGCTTAATATTTGGGCTATGGTTGCTGGAAAGAGAATCTCTCCTCCTCAGAGACACTGAGAGATGAGGACTGAGAGAGCCTGAAGCTGCGGGAGCCATTGTCCAAGGACACAAGGAAGAAGCTGTCAGCAGAATGAAACCAACATGGAGAGGAAAGTGGCCAAAGGGCCAGAGGGACAATTCAACTCTACCACATAGTTCCAACCTCGCCTGAAGCCAGGCCTATCTTCAGTTTTCCCAGTTACAAGAGCCAATTATCTTTTTGAAAGAATTGATCCAGTTTGAATTTCTGTCACTTAGCACAGAAAGAGTTTTGATTAATAAGTAATTATTGAACTAACATGTATTGAGGCTGACTGCTCATGTGCTGAGCCAGAGATGGGGATAAAATGGTGAGCAAATGAGACAGCAGCTGCTGGGACCTCTTGTCCGCATATGCAAATATATGAGCAGGTGGCCTGATGCCAACGTAAAGCAGGAGAACAACCTGTTGAGAAGCCAGGTGTCATTTTTCAACTTTTTAGGTTGCTGGCTTATCAAGATAAGCGAGGAAATACGTGCCTTTTCCTTTAGCCTTGTGGAAAGGCTAGCTTTTGAGTTCTTGAGGTTTGAACTTTCCTTATCACCTCCAGCGAAGTAACTAACAGTCTTTGGTCTGTGTTTCCGGCCAAATGGAGAAGTTGCCAGGCCGGGGTGAGCTGCCCTGTGATTTGGAGGGCCTGCCCACGAGGTGGTTAACCAGGGTGTCTGTCAGGATGGCCCGGAGAGGGGCATGGCCTTTAGGGGTTGTGGGACCTCTTGGACCAAAGAAGTGTTGGGGGTTCTGTGGGGCTAGAGGCACGGACACCAGAGATCTGCACCCGTAGAATTGCTGAGATGGTACAGCCCTGGAGCGGGCGGGGGCTGCTCTGTGCGTGCCGGAACTGGACTCCAGGCCCTGAGGCTCAGGAACCTTGAGGAAGGTCCCCAGGTCAAGTCTGCCTCAGAATAGAGGTACCCTCTCTGCAAGGACATGTGGGCAGCACTGGGGACAACCAGCGATTGACAATTAACCCCTGTGATCTATTGTCACGGACCAGGCAAATCCTAGGGTCCTTCACGACCTCCTTCATCTGCTTTCTACAATCTTGACAAATGCGGGCTTTAGCTAGATGTAACTTAATGTGGGAAATTTAAAAAGGCAACATTTCTTGCATCCTAAATTTTGTGGAGTGATTAATATCTATATATTTCATTATAAGTTGTTACAAATTATGAAAGGAAATTACTGGGCCCTAAGAATGCATATAACGGGGGATCTAATCAATTCACTGAGAGTAAATAATAGCTTTTACTCTGCAAGGGAGTTGCTCCCTGAGCGCAGTTTAGTCTTAGGTTAAATGGAGTTGGGAACCCCTCATAATTGCTGGAATTTATTTTCTATCAAAACAAATAACAACAAGCACTTATTATGTGCAAGAGCTTTGGGCTCTCTTGATGCTCATCGTTCAGTATCCCAGAGGAAGAGAGACTCCCTAGCATCCATGAGCCAAATCTTAAGCAAAACTCTGATTGGTATCATCAGGTTGTGTCCATCGCTGAACCAATCAGTTGGGTAAGAGGATTGTGTACCCGGAACGCCAGCCTGGATGGTCTTATTCAATCCTCACAACAACTTTCTAAGGTAAATATCATTATCCCCATTTTACAGATGAACAAACTGATGTAGAAACAGGTTAATTTACTCCTCCACAGCTATGGTGGACATTATTGTTTTTCACCAACATCTAGCTCTTTCTGGGAACATGGGAAGATGGTCCTTCCCAGCCCGCTGGAAGTTTAATGAGGTCATGTGACTTTCTTTGGCCAATTAAATGTGAGTGGACCTGATAGGGGTCATGTCCCTTCCAAAGAAAGAATTTAATCACTGCTACTTGACCCCAGTTTTCTTGCCTCTCCACAGTGAGCGAGGAAGGCTGTGTCAATATGGGGGTGCACCACGGGGTCTCCACATGGAGAGCAGCTGCAGAGAGTCACCACACGTGCAACAAGGCTTTGTGTCAGTGAGTAGACCTTTGTTGTTTGAAGCCGCTGAGATTTGGGGGTTATTTGTTCCTGCAGCATAGCTGAGCCCCACCAGATTGATATAAACATCACTCAGCTAAAAAGTAGCAGAACTAGAACTGGAACCAAAAGGTGTCTGACCCCAAAGCCTGTGTTCATAACCACGGCTCTATATTGCCACCATGCTTTGCGAGGTATTCTCAGCAAAATTTGTAGTCTCCTAACTCTAGTGTTCCCTATAACCTCTGTGAGTTTTGATCCCTAAGGAATATAGCTTTCTCCCTCAGCTGTCATACATTTCCCAGGTAGCTGTGTTTCTCCCCATTGTCACTGAATGGAGTTTGGCAAAAAAGAAGGATCTTGCCTTCTGGAGCAGCCAGCAAGCCTAACACGGTGTGAGCTGCACCTCTCTCCCATTCTTCTCCAAGCAGTCTCTGCCTCTCACCGTGATCCCCTTCCGGGAGCCTGATTCCTGCTGGAAAGTCTTTGGGGGAAGATCCAGTTGGGAGCCCAGGGTTGTTACTCCTGCCATAGAAGGAGAAGCCTGGAAACCATGCAGGTTGTTGCTATATCATTCGCTGGAGAGGAGTGGAAGGGAGGACAGCCATCAGGGTAACAGAGAACCCAAGAGCCCCTGAGATGCTGAGGAGGTGAGGGAGCTGAAAACCTGGACTGGCAAGACCCAGAGGCTCTGCCCTCAGGGGTTGGATACCATTGGTCTGGAATGCAGGCCTGAGCTTGAGAGAGAGAGAGAGATTTTTTTTTTTTAAGATTTTATTTTTTACCTTTTTCTCCCCAAAGCCCCCTGGTACATAGTTGTATATTGTTAGTTGTGGGTCCTTCTAGTTGAGGCATGTGGGACGCTGCCTCAGCGTGGCTTGATGAGCAGTGCCATGTCCGCGCCCAGGATTCGAACCAACGAAACCCTGGACCGCCGCAGTGGAGTGCACGAACTTAACCACTCAGCCACGGGGCCGGCTCCGAGATTTTTAATTAATACACTTTAGTTTTCAGAACAGTTTTAGATTTACATGAAAATTGAGCATATAGCACAGAGAGTTCCCATACATCCCCTGGTCCCCTGCACACAGTTCCTCTATTATTAGCAACGTACTTTAGTGTGGTCCACTGTTACAGTGAATGCACCAATATTGATAGATGATTACCAGCTAAAGTCCATGCTTTATTCAGAGTCCCTTCATTTTTACCTAATGTTCTTTTTCTGTCCCAGGATCCCATCCAGGCAGTACAACATTACATTTTGTCATTGCATCCCCTTAAGGACATGACAGTTTCTCCGACTGTCCTTGCTTTTGAGCACCTTGACAGCTGTAAGGAGTGCTGGTCAGGTATGTCGTTGGATACCCGTCTCCTGGAATTTTTCGGGTATCAGAGTCTGTCGTGATTAGACTGGGGGTTTGAGGTTTTTGAGCAGAGATATTTTAAAAAATGTTTCCAGGTAATTCTAATTTGCAGCCAGGGAGCCCCAGATGACTAGCTCATGAGGGACAGGGCTCTGCCTTCCCCAAGGCTGCACTCCAGAGAGGCTGATTGTCGGGGACAAAGCTCAGTTCTCCTTCTTCTCCTGGAATTGTTGATGCACTTAACCCTGCGACTCCTTAGTTGAGAGAATTGAGCTGTTACTCTCCATCCAGCATGGGGACAGCCTTGTTTCAGAGGAGGGTGAGTAGCCCCTAGGGAAGAGGGATGTCCCCACAGCCACAGTGTGACTGTCAGAGGGCAGAGCAGGGGTCTGGGAGGTAGTGAGCCCTCATAACAACAAGGAGAACTCTCATGGCCATCTTGTCCGATCTTCAGCTACCCTCCAAAGCACCATGTTAATTGACCACCAAAGACCCATTTTCAACTCCCTTCTCCGTTGCTCTCTTCCAACTGTAGAAGCTGAAAAAGTGACATTTTCCAGCCTCCTTTGTGGCTCAAAATGGTCATGTTACCCAGTTCTGGCTAACAAGATGTAAGAAAAGTTTGCTGGGAGTTGTAGGGGTTGTGAGGGTTTTGGGGAGTGGAGATGGGAAAGCGTCTGAGGAAGATTTTTCATCCCTGATCAAATAAGAAAAGCACATGAAGAGAGCTCTTTCCACTTTGACCATCACACTACATCCTGACTTTGGAGGAAATCTTAAGAAGATGTGATATCTGGAGCTGTGGCAGCCATCTTACAACCATAAGGGGGAAGATAGAGAGAATTTGGACACTGACCCAGAGCCCTGGCATCTAGGAGTTGCAAAGCCAGCCTGATAACTGCCCACCTCTATACTTCTTAGTAAGCAACTCTCCTTATGGTTTAAGTCCCTATTAGTCAGAGTTTCTATTATTTGCAGAAAACACAGAGGCTCTGTTATAGGCCCTGTGAGAGTTGGTGGGCAGGCATCATCCTTAGAGTACAGATGAGACCTAGAGAGGTTGGGGACTTGCCTGAGATGTCCTGATATGGAAAGACACGTTATCCCAGGGTGGCTGAGCAAAGAGTGAGTGTGGCTGCAGATAAGACAGGGGATGACCTGGGGTGGGGGTGGACATCTGGAACACCAGGAGAGGAGTAGAAAGCCACTGCATTTCTGTACTTGAAGGAAGAGTTAGTGGGAGGAGGCACAGGGAAGGTTCGGGGCACTTTGGCCAGAAAGCAGACATGCAGACTTGCAGGTGGAACAACAAAGGGCAGCCCGCCTCCAGCAGAGACTTCCTCGTGGCTGCCTCCAGAGAGCCTGCAGGAAGGAAGGAAAGGCAGTGGCTGGGATTCAACGTAGACTAAAAGGACCTAAATTTAGACCAGACATCCAGGGAGACGCTAGGAAATCCACTCGAGATGATCTCTCGCTCTGCAACGCTTTGCCCTATAATGGCCCAGCTGGCTAGTTTCTCATGTGGCACCCCAGCTGTCCTTCGTGGTAGACAGGGGTGCGAATGTTCACTTAGAGGTGAGACAGCAATGACACAAAGCCACACGGGGGATCAAAGGCGAGAACCCTGGGCTCGTGGGCCCTGGTCACAGCTGTCTCCCTGGGAGGGGGAAAAAAAGTAGCATTTTCTGATTTCCATGGTATAAATGCTCCCACTGTGGCCGATTTTGCCAATGTTTAAACAACATTCTTGCAAAAATCACTGGCGTTTAACATCAGGCTCTCAGAGCTCATAGAAGCCTGCTGGCCATGGCCCCCTGCCCTCTGCCCCAACCTGCTGACTTAGTTCAGGCCCACAGGCTCCTCCTTCTTTCCGGTGGCAGGCCTGTCCCTCTTCTGCCCTGAGCCTGACTGTGATTTTCCAGCGCTTGGCCCCACAACTTGACGCTGCCCATGTGTGTCCCTGACCATGTCTCTTGCTGGCTGCCTCCACTCTCCCCTAATCCTGGCCCCAAATTCCTGCTTCTGCCCCTCTTGGTAACTTGCTGGATGGCTTGTTTTGGGACCCCCCTCTCCCTCCTACCTCGGCCACGGCTGCCCCGTCATTGCCAGCCTGTGTAGATCAGCCCTGGGACCACGCGTGAGGGATAACGTTCCACCCTAAGACTTGGGAGTGGGGTGTCCGGATGGTTGCTCATGAAAAGGCCCTGGATGCTCGCTCTGAATTTCTTTCATTTTCCAAATGTCACACTCTTCTCTTGCAGAGCTCAGAGCCGCCCTCAAAGCCTGGATTCCCTCCTGTCTTCCTAAATGCGACCCTCTCCTCTGCCGGCATGCGCCTGCTCTCTCTCCTTCACTGAGCAAAAACACATGTCCCAAGTTGACCCACGGCTCCTCCAGCTCTCAGGGACTCTCTGTCCTTCCAACTCTCCCTTTCGGATCCATCCATCTGGACTCTGTGTCTGCTGTCTTGTGCCCCAAACCTGCTCCTCCATGCCCTCTGCCTGCCCTTCTTAAGCTCTTATCACCATTCCACTACCCAATCCTAACCACCACTACCCAGACTTCAATCAACGCCTACCAACTCCCCATCCCACACTTGATGTCCCACTGCACTTCCAGCTGAGCTCCTCAGCATGCTTGAGTATCACCTCCTCCAGGAAGCCTTCCCTGATCGCCTCCCCTCTTCTCTCAGGGCTGGCTGTCTTATCTTTCTGCATCCCAAGCAAACCTGGATTGCAACTCTCCTCCCACCGTGATATAGCCATTTACTTGCTGTCTCCCATGAGGCAATGGTTTTTTGGGAGGAGGAACTATGTTACTTGGCCTTGGAGCCTAACACAGCACCTGGCACATGGTAGGTACCGGTAAACACGGGTTGCTTCCATGACTCCTGTGGTCATTGCTCTTGTAGCACTCTAAAAACGCTTCCTGTTGGAGGGCCTCCCAGCTCCTCTACTAGAGTCAAAGTTTCTTGAGGCCAAGAACCTGCCCTGTTCCTCAGGGCCCCTCCCGACACACAGCTTCAGGTGGGCCCTGCGGCTGGGGCACAATGGACCCTTGGAGGAGGGTGGGCAGAACCAGGTGTGTGCCTCATGTTTCTCCAGGCACACCGGCTGTTGACTGACGAGTCCTACAAGGCAATTAAGTTTTAGAGAAAGGTTTTTCACATGCTCGCAAGTCCTGTCTGACTGTGAAGACCGTTGGGGGCAGGCAGGGGACTGTGTGTTCTCTGCGGAAGTTGGGTGGCAGGACAGCCACTGTGAGCAAAGGCACAGGGCTGGGGCCCGGCAGGCCAGTTTCCAAACGGCCCACCCCTGTCCCAGAGAGGCCAGACGAACCTCTGAATCCGTCTGTGGGGCTGGGGACCCCGCACGAGGGTGGGACGAGCCCTCTCCTCCACCCTTCCCCTCACTGGCCAGCCTCCTTAGCAGGGAATCTGGACTCTGGCTCCCACTGGAACCCCACAAGCAGAAATGTTCTTTTGGTTTTCCTGTTGGAATCCCACGAACAGGAATGTTCTCGTGGTTTTCCTGTTGGAATCCTTGGGGCAGGAATGTTCTCGTGGGTTTCCTGTTGGAATTCCATGAAAAGCGCTTTGATTCTTCCAGCCTCATGCCCCTAAAGTTTCAGGGGCATGGGGTCCTGGGGGATTCCCAAGCCCACCCCTCCCAGGCTTTGCCCACGGACTCGGGGCATCTGATTAGTGTGGAACCCTCCTGGAGGAGGGGCCCTTTGGCCACATACAATGCTGCTGCTGAAATTTCTGAGCTAAGCTATAGTAATTTCTGTTCTGCTGCCATAAGCAGGGTCCACTGGTGGGTGGCCAGCCCTGGTCTAGAGTGACAAGCTACAATGGGGTCGTGCTTAGATGGAGCCACACTGCCTGGGTCTGGATCCTAGCGACTTAGTAGCTGGCTATAGAATTATGCAAAACTCTGAGCCTCAGTTTCCTCATCTGCCTGGTAATCAAATCTACGTCATAGAGTTGCTGTCAGGGGGATAAATGAGATAACTCTCCCCATCTCCTCTCACCGAACCCAGGGTCAGGTCATGCTTGCCACCCCCTCCCCGTGGTCCAGCCATCCTCTGGCTTTCCTGGGCAGAATCTCTTCCTTTCCTCTGTAAGGGCTCCTCCATCTCACAGCTCCGTTTTCCAGCTCCTTTCTGCTGCCAACCGCTCTGGCCAGGTGTCAAGGGTCACATGCAGGTCCCCATGGGCCCTACCCTTGGCCCCACCCACCTGCAGCCACCTCCCCTGGAATCCTTGACAGGCTGAGGGGCCTTGTTTGCACCATGGGTGTGTAAGGAAAGAGGCCAGGGGCTGAGGCCAGAGCAAACTGTGTCCAGCTGGCGTGCCTTTTTTTTTTTTTTTTTTTTGTATTCGTGTACATTTTTAATTAAATTCTCCCAGTCCCCTTTTTTTACTGAGGCTCAGCTCCTCGGGCAAGGACTCAGTGATTCTCCTACCGGGCCCCTGTGGGGCAGAGTGGTCAGGAGAGCCACCCCACCCATCACCCCCACCTCTTCTGCTGCTTCTTCATCCACAGCCTCCTCTTCTCAGCCTCTTCCTGTTTCTCAGGGCACTTACATATTCACTTTCTCTCTGAATCCCTACAAAACCCCGGTTAGGTAGGTGGAGCATAGACCATCTTCCTCATTTAGGGAAAAAACTGAAGGTCAGACAGAATAATGATATTATAGCTCACATTTTGTATGTTACTTGGAAATATTTTGGAATAGGTAATTCACTCACATGGTTGATGAATCAGAATTGTATGAAATGTGTGCAGTCAGAAGCCCTGCAACCACCCCGTCCCCTCTCGGCCCGCCTCCTCAAGGTAACCCTGCTCACCAGTTTCTTAGCCATCCTTCCAGAACATCCTTATGTAAATCCAAGCAAATAGGGCACACAGTCTGATTTCCCCACTCCCTGCCCAGATGGTATCAGACTCCACATGCTTTTCCCCTCAACATCGATCTTGCAA